AAAAGCACACAGCAAAGCAAAGAAAGGGAGAGAAGAGACCGATGCGGCATGTACTGAGAAGTCACTATCTACCACGTGGCAGAAATGCCAGCTAGTGCATTGATGCAAGCCAGCTGGCGATGAGAGTTTGCCCTTACAAAACGTACTGCTTGAAAATATTGGAAAATGAAAATTATTGGCAAGAAGGCGAAGATTGAAGATTGAAGTAGGGAGTGAGGGGGTGTAACTTGTTCTATTGAAAACAAGTCTTTCTCTGTATAGGAAGGAAAGAGGCAAAATGCAAGGGGCAAACGGGCAGTGGAATTGTGGCAGTTGATCACGTGCTGGCTTACGGCAAATTTGTTTATTGGAACAGCCTGGCCAAACCATGTCACGACAGCACTCTCTTCTTCACCTTTATGGCAATTTTGACCTCTCGATAATTGGGTTGCCCCCTTCAAATTTCAAATGCCCACTTCACCTCTTTTACATTTTACCCTAAACCTTTAATACAAAAAAGAATATCATCATCTGCTTATGTTATATGTAAACTACAACTAACTAACTAATTAACTAACTTCTTACCGATAAGTTTTTATAAACCCACAAAATAAATATCCTTGAACTTTGTCACTTTTTTTCTTGTTATAACTTGTCTCGCAAATGAGCACTATAATAATTTCAAAGGTACACTCTAAAAGAAAAACTGTTTTTATTGATATAGAGTGCATTTGGTTTTAAACGCATCTGCGGTGAACTTACTTTTTACATGAAAAATTGTACAAAATGCATTGAAATGTTGTTTGGATGTCTAAAACTGCACCGCGAAATTCAACTTTTATTCACCGACGCTTTAGTTCCAGTGAGCTAATGTTCGGCAGCTTTTTTTCTTTTTTTTTATCCTTTTAATTATATTAAAGAGATAAATATATCTTTATAATTTAACTTATTTTTATTTAAAAATTATAAAATAATTTTGTTAATTAAATATAGTAGAAAATATTATTTAATATATTATTATATTTTAATTATTTATTAATTATTTATTATTTGATATAAAAATAGTTTAATAATTTTTAAATTATTTGTTAATTTTATAAACATTAAATTTTTTTAATTTTTTAATTTTTCCTTTAAAGTTATTTTCCATTCTCATTGTAATTTATTTTATTATTATTGTTATTTTTATTAAAATATATATTTTATTATTAATTTTAATTTTATTATTATAATAATTAAATTTATTTTTCTCATTATTTTAAGTTCTACTAAAATTAATCTTTATCGTCTGTCCAAAGATACTTTTAATTTCTTTGTACTGTTTTCTAACTTTCAACTCATGCAATTATTACTAATTATCATTAAAATGATTATTATTTATACTTCAATCACTAGTTTTTTAACCCGTGCCATGCGCGGGATTTTTTAATTATTTTTAATAATTAAAAATTTTATTAATCTTAATTTTTTATATTACTTTAATAAAAAAAATGAATATTTATTGATTTATTATATATAATCATATATTCATAAATATTAAGGTACAACTAAATAAAAGTTTATACATATTATAATATTTTTTCAAAGTCAAAATTTTTGTAAAATTTCAAAGAATTATAAAAATTTTTTCTTTTTCATAAAAATTATTTTTCCAATTCATTTACTAAACAATGAAAATTTTACTAGTCATTTTTTCTTATTTGGTTGAAAAAACAAAGTTCAATTTTAAATAATCAAGATTTTTATTATTGGTTTATATATATATATATATATATTTAGTGTTAGAAATGTTAATATTTACGCTTTTGGATTCCTCACATGATATTGGTACAATTTCTTTAAGGTTTTGTATTCTTTCTATACTTTATTGTACTCTTAATTATGGTTAGATATTTATAGCCATTTCACTACTTTTAATAAAATTTTATTTTGGCTTATTAAAAAGAAAATAGTCAAGAATAATAATTATTTATATATTGATATGAATATATAAAAAATATATCATTAGATTAAATTGTAAAAGACATTTATATTAGCAAAATATTCTTAAATTATTAAATCTTATAAAGCTAAACAAAAAATAAAACATCAAATAATGATAATGATGGTGGTGATGATGATGATTGAACTATAAAACATAATTATTACTTTGCTCATAACCATTTGTATTTTATTAGTTCTTGTTTTTTTTACATGTATACTTTACATACATAATTTTTTTTTTTAGAACATAAATCAAATATATAAATTGAGAATTATATATAATTTAGATCTCTTGTAATTATACATGACAAATATCCAGTTTAACTAAATATATATATATATAAACATATGAACCAATTTATTTTAGAATAAATAAAATCTATATACATATATCATATAATGCAAATAAAACCAAATAATTAGTTTGAAGAAACAAACAAATGGAGGAAAATAATAAAAAATATAACATAATATAGAAAAAGTAATGAACTATACCTATTACCTAGTTGAAACCCAACCAAATATGCACTCATTTTCCTTTCATTATTGAAATCTAAAAACAAAAAAAAAAAATCAATATTATAAAATGAAAAACAATCCAACACCATCACAAACTTATTTTTAAAACTAAAAAATAAAAATAAAGGAATAATAAAGGCATAAAATTAATTTACTTATTCGTGAATATGATGTGGTTATTATTCTTTTTAGCTATTTTCTATTTTTATCAAAACTCATAAATCATTATCATCAAATAAAAAAAATGATTGTACTTTTCAATATCTAATTCTAATAATAACAAATAAAATAATATTGGTTAGAAGGTGATGCACTCACTTTATGAATTCTTTATTTTTATTTTGAGATTTTGATTTCAGTAAATAAAAATTTATTAAGCTCACATACACATGTAGGCGCATACACACATATACATATATATATATATACATGTAGAGTTATGACTAAATTTAAAAAGAAAAGATAAATTATGATTTAATATATTTAAATTTAAAATTTATGTAAAATTTTTAATTTTTAACAGAGTTTGATTTGAATTTAAATAGTTACCCAAAACTATTAAATTTATATAATTTATTAAACAAAATTATTTAATAGTAGATAAAAGTTTATTAAGCCTATATATATTTGGAATTATGATTAAATTAAAAAAGAGGTAATTTATAATTTAGTATATTTAAATTTAAAATTTATATAAAATTTTCAATATTTTTATAGATTTGATTTTACAAAATATACAAATTGAAAAACATATATATAATTTAAATTTCTTAAACTTATGTATAGTAAATATCCTGTTTATATATATAAATATATATATATATAAACATATGAACCGATTTTTTTAGAATAAATCAAACCTAAATGTATATATCTTATAATGTAAATAAAACCAAACAAATGTTGGAAAACACAAATAAATAGAGGAAAAAAATAGAATATGTAAAAAAGTAATGAACTATACCTATTACCTAGTTGAAACTAATCTAAATGTATACTCATTTTCTTTTCATTATTGAAATCTTTAAAAAGAAATCAATATTACAAAAACAAAGAAAAAAACAATCCAACACCATCACAAACTTATTTTTAAAACTAAAAAAAAGATAATAAAAGAAATAAAAGAATAATAAAGACAAAATATGAATTTACTTGTTCATGAGTATGATGTGATTATTATTTTTTTTAATTTTACTCATTCTTGTCAAAACTCATAAATCATAATCATCAAATAAAAAAAAGATTGTATTCTTCAATTTCTAATTGTAATAATAACAAATAAATTAACATTGGTTAGGGGGTGACACTCTCATTTTATGAGCTTTTTATTTTTATTTTGAGATTTTGATTTTAACAAATAAAAATTTATTAAGCTTACACATATACATATAATATATATATATATATATAGAGAGAGAGAGAGAGCTATAATTAAATTTGAAAAGAAAAGATAAATTATGATTTAGTATATTTAAATTCAAAATTTATGTAAATTTTTTAATTTTTGATAAAGTTTGATTTGAATTTAAATAGTTACCAAAAAATATTCAATTTATATAATTTATTAAATAAAATTATTTGACAATAAATAAAAGTTTATTAAGCCTATATATATTTGAAATTATGATTAAATTAAAAAAATAATTTATAATTTAATATATTTGAATTTAAAATTTATGTAAAATTTTTAATATTTTAGAGATTTTTATTTGAATTAAAATAGTTATCTAAACATATTAAATTTATATAATTATTCAAACATATTAAATTTAAATAACTTATTAAATAGAGTTACTTGATAAATAATATAATATAAATATTATTTTATGTATTATAAAAAGAGACTATTCATATAAATATTCATGTTAACACATTTTATATGATAATTTTGTATCTTATAATATAAGATATATATTAGATTTCACTCTTGTTCGGCTGGCCGGTATGTAGTATAAGAAAAGATCAATTGTCAAAATGAAAGGGCATAATTGTCATCACATTCAGAGCAACAAACAATCCCATGGTTTTCATACTTGTAATAGAAAACACGATTTAAGTATAATTATATATATTTGCTACTTTCCTTTTTTATTATGATGATTATAAATGTAATAGTAGTAATACTTTTTATTAATGGTCGTCTTCAAAATTAGTTTAAATAATATTTAAAATAATATTCTAATATTAAATATAATGATTAACCATTAATGTAATACTAAATTTTAATGCATTAAAAGAAAGTATTTAGATGTTCGAATTAAATTAAATTAAATAATTATTTTTTACCAATAATTTACGCTATCATTTGATACCAATAAATTTAAAGTTCCAATTTTAATCTTACATTACTTTTTTTAAAAAAATTTAAATTAAAATCTTTTTGTAAAAAAATTTCCTTGCCCAAGGAATGATTGGATGCAAAAATCCTTTACAACTAAAATTCTAGTAGAAAAGACAAAGTCCAAAATAGAAACTCAACGTTCAACAATGACTTTCTTTTTGATTCTCTTACCTTTTCAAGAACGCGTACTGAGTTGATCAGACTGCGCGTTCCCGCCGCCCACTCTTTCTCCTTCATTTCCTCTCTCTCTCCTTTCTTAAAAATATCAGTAATGGAACCGAAATGTAAAACATCTCATTTTTAGTTCTGAACAAAAGTACTTGCATCAAGGAACAAGAAAATCAGTTGGTTTAATGGCAAAATCAAAGAATTGTGACGCCAAGAAGCAGTCGTACATTTATGTTCCTTCTCAGATAATCAACTCTCTCTCCTCCTCTTCTCTCCAGTCGCTTCTCGTTTCTCCAAAGAAAAGGAACTCAAACAAGTTCCTTTTTGGCTACAATTCATGCAGAAGCCCAAGGGTTTGGTTGTCCGCTCTCTTTTTCTTCGGCCTTGTTGGCATGTTGAGGTTGCGCTGGAATGTTGACACTTTGGTCCCATTCTCTCCATACCCATGTCTCCAAAGTACTCAACCAAAACCGCATCTGGGTTTTGCTTCAAGCATTGATGAAGTTGGTAAAAAAGACGATTTTTTTATTGCTAATAATAACGGTCAGCCTCCTAATTATTTACATTCGGAAAGTGAGTTTTGGAAGCAGCCTAATGGGATGGGTTACCGGCCGTGCTTGGATTTCAGTGCCGAGTATAGAAGAGCAACTAAGGCCATTGTGAAGGACAGGAGAAAGTATTTGCTGGTGGTGGTTTCAGGTGGCATGAATCAGCAAAGAAATCAGATTGTGGATGCTGTTGTCATTGCCAGGATACTTGGAGCTGCTTTCGTTGTTCCCGTCTTGCAAGTCAACGTCATCTGGGGTGATGAAAGGTAACAAATCATGCCTACCTCTCTTCTATGCGGATTTGGGTCATTAATTTAACCTCCATTCCTTCAATTCTCATCCTGCTAGAATAGATACTTATATATATATATATATATATATATATATATATATGTCCCCGACTCAAGCTTCATTTTTAAGTTTAATTAATCGTTTCTTATTTCATCTAGGGTGATTTTTTTTTTCGCTTGCAGTGAATTTTCTGATATATTCGATTTGGCTCATTTCAAGAGAGTTCTTGCCGATGATGTGCGTATACTATCGTCATTGCCTTCTACACATATAATGGCAAGGCCGGTAGAGGAGAATCGGACTCCACTTCATGTCTCGCCTCAATGGATTCGTTCACGTTATCTAAAGCGGGTATGGATCCTTTTCCGCTATGTTATTTCAGCAAGTATTATAGTTTGCTTATCTTTGCAAACTTGTCTCTTAGGCTTTGCTTGGATGGAAAGATCAAAACGGGTGAGTATGGAAACTTGTTAATCTAATGATTAAGCTATAAAATAGGAAAGTGATTATGAATATTAGATTAACAAGTTTTTCATCCACACCTCTTTTTATCTTTCCTATCAAACAAAGCCTTAGAGGTTGGCTGTGAAATAAGAAGATTTGGGAGGTCTGTATGTTTTGACTGGAATCATGCCCCAGAAATTCATTTTTGTTATTAAGCATGAACTAACATTACGGTTCTATTATGGTAGTTGGAGAAGCTTCTAATTGATTCCCACTTGTTTGCATGTCCTTAGCACCCTGACCACTATCAATAATTGCAGTTCTTTAAACAATTTCATCTCAGCTTTTGAGGCCACCAAGACTCATGCTTGATCCTCATCCATGTTTGTTCTGGTTATAATCCTGCACTTGCCAAATGATTTTGTTGGTTGAATGGAGGCCTTCTTAGTAGATTTGTGACACATTGTTTTAAAGATATGGATTTAAAAAGTCATGCTCAATTACATATGTTGCACATGTTGAGTATGAACTAGTAATTTTTTTTTTCTTTTAATCAGCTCATATTGATATGATTGTCTTTATGGAAAAGATAAATAGGGAAGGAGTTTTGCTTTTGCGAGGTCTGGATTCAAGGCTCTCTAAAGATCTTCCTCCTGATCTTCAAAAGCTTCGCTGCAAGGTACTTGAAATTTTGCTCTTAGCTTCTAGGTCAAGACTATACTTCCAACTGTGATGTGGAAAACTTTCCACTATTCTTTGCCAAATTCTGTTGATCTATTATTGTTTCTTCTAGAATTATATAGAATTCCAAAATTTAGCAGATTCTAGTTTGTTCATTATCTAATATCAGGTGGCATTTCAAGCATTAAGATTTGCTCCACCAGTCCTTGAACTTGGTAACAAGCTCGCTCAGAGAATGCAGGGCAAGGGACCCTACCTTGCTCTGCATCTTCGAATGGAGAAGGATGTATGGGTGAGGACTGGTTGCCTTCCAGGCTTGAGCAAGGAATATGATAATATGATCCATAATGAAAGGAGAAGACGGCCTGAGCTTCTTACTGCAAGAAGAAACATGACTTACCATGAGCGAAAGCTTGCAGGACTTTGCCCCTTGAATGCTTTTGAAGTGACTAGGTAAGAGCTAGTTCTGTTACGTAAAGTTGTGTGATGCTATATGTTCCGCTTGATACCTAGTTTGTGTTGAACAATCTTCTTATGAACTGGGCTGTTATATATGTGTTGTTGTATACTTTAGGTTGCTTAAAGCTTTGGGGGCTCCTAGGAGTGCAAAAATATACTGGGCTGGAGGGCAACCACTGGGTGGGAAAGAAGCCTTGTTACCGTTAACCAGAGAATTTCCCCATTTCTACAATAAGGAAGATCTTGCATTGCCTGGAGAATTAGAACCATTTTCTAACAAGGCTTCTATTATGGCTGCCATCGACTATATAGTTTCTGAGAAAAGCGATGTTTTCATGCCATCTCACGGTGGAAATATGGGCCACGCAATTCAGGTATTAAGCCATAATAGTCTTTGTTAGCACTAGTTCTCCAGTTACTACCATTTTTTGTGCTTTGGACCTTCAACTATGAAACAAGAATCATGCACTCTCCCTCTGTTATTTTTTTATTTATTTCTTGCTCTTTTCAAGTCAAATACTGAGTTATAATATACCTATCTTTTTTAAACCACATGCTTCTCTGCTGCTACTTTTAGAACAGAAATTTTACTGTTGTTTGTTAATACAGGGACATAGAGCGTATGCAGGGCATAAAAAGTATATAACTCCAAACAAAAGACATATGCTCCCTTATTTTCTGAACTCTTCTCTCCTCGAAGGAGAGTTCAACAGGATCATAAAGGAATTGCACCATGAATCTTTAGGGCAGCCAGAACTCCGGACTAGCAAAGCTGGAAGGGATGTAACAAAGTATCCGGTTCCAGAATGTATGTGCAACAATGTACATACCCACTCACTTTAATTCTGAAGGCTTCCAACATGATAGCTACATTACAAGAAATAGCTTCATTGAGAATTGGGAATTCCTGGTGCTACCCCGAATTTGATCCCTTGGAAAATTTGATAGTAAGATTTTTGGGCAATGATGATTCATTGGGGCGCCAATTTAAGAGCAACTGCAGCCTGCAAACGCTTTTCGACAGTACTTGCATTTTGTCTTTGCATGTACCATCCTGCTTGCATGGGTATGTATTTTTTCAAGGCAAGATAGATGTTGTCATATATTGAGAATATATATATGATAGTTATCATTCGTTGATTCTTTATAGGAAGATATTTTCCCCTCTCAAGAACTGATCTTTTAGTTATTTCATTCTTTCCATTGAACATACGTACCTCATTATGATACATACATTTACATTTGGTAATAAAGCGTTCCATTTCTGAAAGCTCCCATATTGTCTTGCGTAGCTTCTTTGCAGTTGCACATAATTGAAGTTCCTTATGTGTGTTCCTTTTTCTACCAAAAAAAAGAAAAAAAAGAAATTGTTCTCTTGCGTGATTATTATCCTTGATACATGCTATGCGGAACAGAACCAGTTTTATGAGATTTATGGTGCTATGCCTTTTTGTAATCCCTGACGCCATAAGTAAAACAGTGTTTCTGAAAATTCCGAAAATGATTTTATGTCCCTTATAGAATTAATCCACGTTAATATGCCACAATCCTTTCAGGCTTCTGCCACAACCCGCGGTTACCCAAATAAATGTAATAGTTGTTAAATTTTTTATTAAACCCTACGGCGTTTACAGGACAGGCCAGCAGGGTTCATCCTTCTTGTCTGCATGGCCTTTGGTGCTTCACTCCAGAATGCTTGAAGCTCGTTATCAAACTGCGAGAGGTAGTAGTACTAGACTAGTAGTGGTTTTTCTTTTAGGATAAGAATTTTTAACACCCAAAAGAAACGCATGAAGCCTTGCTACAGTTGCTACAAATTGGATAACCAGAAAAACAACGAGAACCTATGAAGAAACGGCACGCGCCCACTCCTGCCATACTAGTGTCGTCTGACACGGATACGCCGCCGAAACGTCGGGACACGGCAAAAAAATAAAAATCAAGTTGGGCACGATCCTGAAATGGTAAAGACACGTTTGGACACGGTTTAGAGACAACAAGGGTAAAAAATAAAAAGTTATAATGATTTGAAATAGATAATTGTTCAAATAGGAACTGGTTTGATAAACAAATTTATTTTTTAAATCTCCTACCTATTAATTTTTAGAATATTAATAAATTAGTTTTATTTTATTTTGAATAAAATTGTATGAATAAAAACAATTGTTTTATGACAAAACAAAAGATCATAACTATTTGAAATAAATAATTGTTCAAACAGTCATAACTATTTGAACTTGCTAGGTAAACAGATTTATTTTTTAAATCTTTTACTTACTAATTTTTGGAATATTAATAAACTAGTATTATTTTATTTTGAATGTGCTTGTGTGAATAAAAACAATTGGTTTATGACAAAACAAAAGGTCATAATTATTTGAAATAAATAATTGTTCGAATAGTCATAACTATTTGAATTCAGTAAATAAAATTATTTTTTAAATTTTTTAGTTATTAATTTTTTGAATGTTAATAAATTATTATTATTTTATTTCGAATAAGCATATATGAACTAAAACAATTATTTTATGACTAAACAAAAGACCAAAATGATTTGAAATAGAAAATTGTTCTAATAGTTTTAACTATTTGAACTGGTTTGGCAAACACATTTACTTTTTGAATGTCTTATTAATTTTTAGGATAGTGTTAATTTAGCAATATTTTACTCCGAATAAGCATGTATGAATAGAAATAATTGTTTTAAGAAAAAATAAAGATCATAATGGTTTGAGATAGATAATTGTTCAATAGTCATAGCCTTTTGAACTAGTTCGACAAATAAATTTAGTTTTTAAATCTCTTATTAATTTTTAAAATATTAATAAATTATTATTATTTTATTCTAAATAATTTGTATGAATAGAAACAATTGTTTTACAATAAAACAAAATGTCATAATGATTTGAAATAGATAATAGTTCAAATGCACCTAATTATTTGAACTTGTTCAGTAACCGAATTTGTTTTTTAAATCTCTAACTTATTAATTTTTAGAATATTAATAAATTAGTATTATTTTATTTTGAATAAGCTTGTATAAATAAAAACAATTATTTTAGGACAAAACAAAATATCATAATGATTTGAAATAAATAATTGTATAACTATCTAAACTCGCCCAGTAAATGGATTTATATTTTAAATCTTTTATTTATTAATTTTTGAAATTTTAATAAATTGGTATTATTTTATTTCAAATAAGCTTTTATGAAGAAAAAAATTAATTTATGACAAAACAAAATGTCATAATGATTTGAAATAGATAATTGTTCAAATAGTCATAATTATTTGAACGGGGTTTAGAAAACATATTTATTTTTTTAATTTTACTTATTATTTTTTAGAATATTAATAAATTTATATTATTTTATTCAAATAAGCTTGCAAAAACAAGATCAATTGTTTTATGACAAAACAAAAGGTTAGAATATTTTGAAATAGATAATTGTTCAAATAGTCATAACTATTTGAACATATTCGGCAAACAGATTCATTTTTTAATTCTCTTACTCATTAATTTTTGGAATATTAATAAATTAAAATTATTTTATATCAAATAAGCTTATATGAAATAAAAAAATTATTTTATTATAAAACAAAAAGTCACAATAATTTGAAATAGATATATAGTCAAATAGTCATGACTATTTGAACTTGTTCGGTAAACATATTTTATTTTTAAATCTTTTACTTATTAATTATCAAAATATTAATAAATTAATATTATTTTAATATGAATAAGCTTGTATGATAAAAAAAATTGTTTTATGAGAAATCAAATAGTATAACAATTTGAAATAAATAATTATTCAAATAGTTATAAATATTTGAAGTTGTTCAGTAAATAGATTTATTTTTAAATCTTTTAGTTATTAATTGTCTTAATATTAATGAATTTGTATTATTTTAATCAAAATAAGCTTGTATGAACTAAAAAATTATTTTATGACAAAACAAAAGGTTATAGCGATTTTAAATAGATGAGTCTTCAAATAGTCATAATTATTTAAACTTGTTCAGTAAATAGATTCATTTTTTAAATCTCTTAATTATTAAATTTTAGAATATTAATAACTTAGTATTATTTTATTTCAAATAAGCTTATATGAACTAAAAAAATGTTTTTATGACAAAACAAAATGTCATAATGATTTGAAATAGATAATTATTCAAATGGTCAAGACTATTTAATTTAGTTTAATAAACATATTTATTTTTTAAAATTTTTACTTATTAATTATCAAAATATTAATAAGTTAGTATTATTTTAATCTAAATACTTGTATGAATAGAAATTATTGTTTTATATCAAAATAAAAAGTCATAGCGATTTGAAATAAATAATTGCTCTAATAGTCATAACTATTTAAATTAGTTTGATAAACAAATTTATTTTTTAAATCTCTTATTAATTTTAGAAATATTAAGAGATTATTTTTATTTTATTTTGACCAAACTTATATGAACAAAAATATTTATTTTATGACAAAACAAAAGGCCGTAATGATTTGAAAGAAAATAATTATTCAAATAATCATAATTATTTGAATTGGTTAGGTAAATAAAATTATTTTTTAAGTCTCTTACATATTTATTTTTGAAATATTAATAAATTCATTTTGTTTTTTCCGAATATGCTAGTATGAATTAAAAATTTTATTTTATGACAAAACAAAAACGATTTGAAATAGATAATTGTTGATATAGTTTTAACTATTTGAACTAGTTTGGCAAACAAATTTATTTTTTAAATTTCTTAATTATTAATTTTTGGAATATTATTAGATTAGTATTATTTTATTTCAAATGAGCCTGTATGAATAGAAATAACCATTTTATAATGATTTGAAGTATATAATTGTTCAAATAGTTAAAATTATTTAAACTGATTCGATAAATAGATTTATTTTTTAAATCTCTTACTTATTAATTTTTGAAAGATTAATAAATTAGTATTATTTTATTACAAATAAACTTGAATGATAAAAAACAATTGTTATATGACCAAACGAACGGTAATAATGATTTAAAATAGATAATTTTTGAAATAGCTATAATTATTTGAACTAATTCGGTAAACAAATTCACTTTTTAAATCACTTACTTAATAATTTTTAGAAAATTAATAAATTAGTATTATTTTATTTCAAATAAGCTTATATGAATTGAAACAATTGTTTTATGACAAAAAAATGGTCATAACGATTTTAAATAGATAATTGTTTAAATAGTCGAACTATTTAAATTTTTTTGGTAAACAAATTTAATTTTTTAAACTCTTCCTTAGTAATTTTTGAAATATTAAGAAATTAGTACTATTTTATTTTGGATAAGCTTTTATGAATTGAAACAATTGTTTTATGTCAAAACAAAAGGTCATAATGATTTTAAACAAGTAATTGTTCAAATAGTCATAACTATTTGAACTTATTTGGTAAATCGATTTATTTTTTCAAATCTTTTGCTTATTAATTTTTTGAATGTTAATATATTTGGATTATTTGATTTCGAATAAGCTTGTAAGATATGAAACTAATATTTTATGACTAAACAAAAGGTCAAAATAATTGGAAATATATCATTATCCTAATAGTTTTAACTATTTGAACTGGTTCGACAAACACTTTTATTTTTTAATCTCTTATTAATTTTTGAAATATTATAAAATTAGTATTATTTTTAACCTAATAAGCTTCTATGATCAGAATGATTGTTTTATGACAAAACAAAGATCTTAATGATTTGAGATTGATAATTGTTCAAATAGTCATAACTATTTGAACTAGTTCGGTAACCATATTTATTTTTTAAATCTCTTACTTATTAATTTTTGAAATATTAATAAACTAGTATTATTTTATTTCAAATAAGCTTGTATGATAAGCAACAATTGTTTTATAACAAAACAAAAGGTTATAATAATTTTAAATAGATAATCGTTCGAATAGCCATAATTATTTTAATTGATTTGATAAACAAATTTATTTTTTAACTTTCTTACTTATTAATTTAGGAAATATTAATAAATTAGTATTATTTTATTCCATCTAAGCTTGTATTAACTAAAACAATTGTTTTATAACAAATCAAAAGGTTATAACAATTTTAAATGGATAGTTGTTCAAATAGTAATAACTATTTGAATTTGTTCAATAAATAGATTTATTTTTTAAAATCTCTTTCTTATTAATTTTTTAATGTTAATCAATTAGTATTAATTTATTTTAAATAAGCTTGTATGAACTGAAACAATTATTTTATGACTAA